ACCCTACCCGATACCCGTACCCTACCCAATACGTGTACCCTACCCGATACCCGTACCCTACCCGATACCCGTACCCTACCCGATACCCGGCTACTTGTACCCGATACCCGTACCCTACCCAATACCCGAACCCTACCCGATACCCGTACCCTACCCGATACCCGTACCCTACCCGATACCCGGCTACTTGTACCCGATACCCGTACCCTACCCGATACCCGAACCCTACCCGATACCCGTACCCTACCCGATACCCGGCTACTTGTACCCGATACCCGTACCCTACCCGATACCCGTACCCTACCCGATACCCGTACCCTACCCGATACCCGTACCCTACCCGATACCCGGCTACTTGTACCCGATACCCGTATCCTACCCGATACCCGTACCCTACCCGATACCCGGCTACCCGTACCGAGCCAGGTACGGGTACGGGTACCCGTTTGCGACCCTGGTGCGGCCGGGTACGGGTAGCCGAGTAAAGATTCAAAATTCGTTTGCGACCTCTGCTCCACGCTCGGGTCTCTGGTGTGGAGGGCATTGTGGGTCCGTGTCCGTCGCTCCGTCGTGCCATCGGCCGCGGTGGTCGTGAGATGTTCACCGCCTCGCCTGGTGTACAGGAGGGGCGCGGGTTCGATCCCTCCCCCATCCCCGCCGTGTCTTCGTGTGTTTCTGTGTCACCGTGTGTCTCTGGGTGTGTCTCTGTGTGTCTCTGTCTCCCCGTGTGTCTCTGTGTCTCTGTCTCCCTGTGTGTCTCTGTGTGTCTCCGTGTCTCTGTGTCTCTGTGTGTTTCACCGTGTGTCTCTGTGTGTCTCTGTGTGTTTCCGTGTGTCTCTGTGTGTCTCTGTGTCACCGTGTGTCTCTGTGTGTCTCTGTGTGTCTCTGTGTCACCGTGTGTCTCACCGTGTGTCTCTGTGTGTCTCTGTGTCACCGTGTGTCTCTGTGTGTCTCTGTGTTACCGTGTGTCTCTGTGTGTCACCGTGTGTCACCGTGTGTCTCTGTGTGTCTCTGTGTCACCGTGTGTCGCCGTGTGTCTCTGTGTGTCTCTGTGTGTCTCTGTGTCACCGCGTGTCTCTGTGTGTCTCTGGGTGTCTCTGTGTATCTCTGTGTGTCACTGTTTCACCGCGTGTCTCTGTGTGTCTGTGTCTCTGTGTGTCACCGTGTGTCTCTGTGTGTCTCTGTGTGTCTCTGTGTCACCGCGTGTCTCTGTGTCTCTGTGTGTCACCGTGTGTGTCTGTGTGTCTCTGTGCGTCACCGTGTGTCTCTGTGTCTCTGTCTGTCTCTGTGTGTCTCTGTATCTCTGTCTGTCTCTGTGTGTCTCTGTGTGTCTCTGTGTCACTGTGTGTCTCTGTGTCTCTGTCTGTCTCTGTGTGTCTCTGTGTGTCTCTGTGTCACCGTGTGTCTCTGTGTCTCTGTCTGTCTTTGTGTGTAACCGTGTGTCTCTGTCTGTCTCTGTGTGTCTCTGTGTGTGTCTCTGTCTCACCGTGTGTCACTGTGTGTCTCTGTGTGTCACCGTGTGTCTCTGTATCTCTGTGTGTCTCCGTGTGTCTCTGTCTCACCGTGTGTCTCTGTGTGTCTCTGTGTGTCTCTGTCTCACCGCGTGTCTCTGTGTGTCTCTGTGTGTTTCTGTCTCACCGTGTGTCTCTGTTTCACCGTGTGTCTTCGTGTGTCTCTGTGTCTCCCCGCGTGTCTCTGTCTCCTCGCGTGTCTCTGTGTGTCTCTGTCTCACCGTGTGTCTCTGTCTCACCGTGTATCTCTGTGTGTCTCCGTGTGTCTCACCGTGTGTCTCTGTGTCTCTGTGTCTCTCTGTGTCTCTGCGTGTCTCTGTGTGTCTCTGTCTCACCGTGTGTCTCTGTGTGTCTCACCGTGTGTCTCCGCGTGTCTCTGTGTCTCTCTGTGTCTCTGCGTGTCTCTGTGTGTCTCTGTCTCACCGTGTGTCTCTGTGTGTCTCACCGTGTGTCTCACCGTGTGTCTCCGCGTGTCTCACCGTGTGTCTCACCGCCTGTCTCTGTCTCACCGTGTGTCTCTGCGTGTCTCACCGTGTGTCTCACCGTGTGTCTCACCGTGTGTCTCTGTGTGTCCCCGTGTGTCTCTGTCTCCGCGTGTTTCAGCTGCGGCGCTGCAGGCAACAGCGCTGCGCCCTGGAGCAGCGAGTCTCCCGTTTGACTCTCAGCCTCTCGGCCACGCGGGAGACGCTGGAGACACAGGCGGAGACACTGAGACAGGGAGAC